GAGGAGGAAGAAGAAGGAGAAGAAGAACAAGAAGAAGAAAGAAGAAGAAGAAGAAGAAGAAGAAGAAGAAGAAGAAGAAGAAGAAGAAGAAGAAGGGGGGGAGGGGGAGGGGGAAGGAAGGATAAAAAGAAAGAGGAGGGAGCGAAGGAGGAGGAGGAGGATAGAGAAAAGAAAGAAGGGCTAGTGTACACATTAAAAAAGAGTAGACTGATCAGATAGATCTGATTCAAATTCTAACTCCATCACCACTTGTTAGTTGTCAGACCTCTCTAAATCGCAATCTCCTCATCTATAACATAGATGAAATAATATTACCATCTGCTATGGTTTGGTTATGGTTTAAGTTTCATGTGCTGGAAACCCCAGTGTAGTGGTTGAGGAACTTTTAAGAAGTGGAGTCTACTTAAATCAAGATAAATAGATTACAGCTGGTCTGCAGAATTGGGTGAGTCCTGCAGGAGTGAGTTCATTTCTAAGAAAATGGGTTACTATGAAAAGAGCGAGACAGGCTCCTGGCCTCTTGCTGTCTGTCTCAGCATGTGATCTCTCCTGTCCCTGCTCTCACCATTAGATGCCATCCTCCATGAGGCCCTCACCAGAGTTGAACAGGTGATGCTGCCATGCCCTTGAATCTCCAGAACTGTGACCTAGATAAATCTTTGTTTATAAACACTCAGCCTCAGGTACTTTGTACAGTAACACAAAATAGACTATAACACCACCTCATAGGGTTGTTTGAGTATTAAATGAGCTACCGTGTGTAATACAGTCAGAAGTAGGTAGCAGTAAATGTTAGTTATATTCATTTTATGGAAGCCGAGAGACAGACAGATGACTCCCCAAACACACTACTCTTTTAAATGTAAATATTAAGACAATTATGAATTGACAATTAAATCTCAATCTGTCATAAACATATCTTTTAATCTGTGTCCTAAACTGCTTAAAGACTTCATTGGAAGCTGGAAAAAAATTACAAATATTCTTGAATTTATCTTATTGCACATTACCAGAATAGTCAAAATCTACAAAATGGAAGCACTAAATCAGAATGAGATAAGCCACTCTAAAAATTAAATTTTGAAGAACTATGTGTAACTCCCCAACCTAAAAACCTAATTACCTTATTTTGAAATTCAGTCATGGCTGCCCGGAATTCTTTTCCATTATTCCCTGTTTGACTCAGAAGGTTTACATTTTCATAGAAAGTTTCATTCAGAATGCGTTTAGTCTGAAAATTGAAAATCATTGTTAAATTATTCACATCAGAAAGTAGCATTTCAATTCTTTAGACTTTTCCAAAATGATCAAACATCAGCAATGTACACACCTCAGTTTGGGAAATAGCTCCTAGGATACCTGCAGCCACCTGCAGGAGCAGGATCACAAGCAAGCCTATGAAGAACTGAAAAAGAAAGGGGGGATCTGTTATCCTCAGTACATTCGGTTACATGTAGGGCATTTTGGCATGCACGTCCCCTAACATCAGGGATTGTATCACAGTGAGAGTATGAGCCACAATCCTCATTTATTTCACCCTTTGTGTCAAGATGCAAATTTTGATCCATTACTACTCAGAAGCATTTGCTTCAACAACTGATCAAAGAAAGTGTTTCAAGTGAAAATTTTTTGACAGAAGTGTTGCTATCTGTGTGATATAAAAGGGAGGGAAGTTTTAAAACTTAAATGAATTTGTTTTAATATTATTTTTCTTTTCCTTTTTTATATGATATAAACACACACAAACTCAGAACTGCCTTCAAAATAGTATTCCTATAAGTATTGAATCTTGTGTCATTTTATTTTATATGTGGATTTCTGAAATCTCCTTCACATCTACTGAATCATAATTTTGGAGGATGTAGCTCACTGATTAGTTTTTGTTTGTTTGTTTGTTTTTTAAATAGGACAAGTTAATTCTCCAAACCACAAATGAGATCTTGTTACTCATAAAGCAACCACCAGGGATGTTGTTAGGATCTTGTTAAACTATCTCTGCCTCCCTCACAATAAGCAAAAAATATTTTCAGGAACTGACACAATCCTTATTGTTTTATAGAAATAGGTCTATATTGGCTCTGATAAACTCATGTCAGATTTATATCTGATAAACACTTGATTTTTCTACAACATACTTGTATTCATTATTTTCTACCATGTTAAAAGTGAATTCCTATAGGCTATTCTACCCCAATCCAGCCTCCCAGAAGGTTGCTAAGTAACAAAACTCATTATCTCTCTGCCTTACAATTTTCTTAACATGGCATGTAGTAAACTTTATGATTTGACCACAATCCACTTTCAGACTCATCTCCCATCCTTTACTGAAAACACCCTCCACCACTCTCCAGCCACACCCAGGCCTGACAGTTCCCAGAGCACACCAGTCATGGGATGACTACCAGCCTCTCTTCCTGGAGATATCACACCTTCACCCATTAGGACACTTTATTTTTTTAAATTAAATACTTTTATTGGTGCATTGTAGGTACACAACACAATTATATTTCTCATTGGGAACTTGTACCTTTACATAATGCATCTTGGTTCTTATTTTTTCCCCATTCCTAGCCCTCCCTTCACCCCTTTCACCCTTCCCCCCCTTCTCTATTTACAAAGACTTTATTCCCATTTTTTCCATTTCTCATCATTTTTCCTTTCCCTTCTTTCCTTTCCCCTGCCCCTCCTACTA